GACACCAACTCAGAAGCTCCCCTGCCCCTTTACCATGAAGGGCCTTGAATGGGGAGGGGGCAGGTGGCGGGGGGGGGGGGGCTTCTGCCAGGAAGAACTGTTATGTCCCTAAAAGGGGATGGGGACAGGACTCTGAGGGACCTCACACAGACCCCCGCTTTCTGGGTTCAGCTGCGTTCAAGGCCCCTGTCTGTTCAGTAGACGAATCCAAGACTTGGGGCTCTCCTTCCACCAGGGCTAAAGGCCTGGAAACCAGCCCGCCGCTCCAGGCTGCCTGGAGCAGCTGGGAGAGTGTGCCGAGACACCAGAGGGCAGAACCCAGAGAAGACCTGCCAGAAAGGAGACTTCCTGGGCTTCAGTGTGGAGCCCTGGCATTTTGGGTTCCATCAGGCAAAAGCACGAACACTGAACCAGGGCAGAGCTTGAGGACAGTTTCCGGCTTGGGGATGGCACCCGGGCCAGGGCTTGAATGGGCCCCATGGAACCCAGGGCTGGGCCGTCTCGCCCTCCTGCAACCCATGACCCAATGCAGGACGTGAGCGCCTCCCCTGCTCTCCCGCTGAGAGTGGCGGTTCTGATGAACCCGTGTGTCCTCAAGGAGGATGCTCACACTCTGAAGGGGCTCGGAAGCCTCCGGGTGCAGGAACCACAAAGGCCGGAGCCAGGCAGCCCCACTCCGGGTGTTCAGGGCCGTCAGGAGGCCAGGCAGCCGGACCGCAGGCCTGAGGAGGGAGGCCCTGAGGAGGGAGGCACGGTGAGGCCGAGTCTAGTTACGGGGGACACAGAGCAGCAGTTCGAGTCGTCCCGGCCCCACAGGGCCAGCTCTGCTCAGGGCCTGGGTGAGGGTCCCGTGTCAGGTGAGCACTGGAGCCCGGCTGAGCCCCCCCAGTCCCATCCTGCTTCTCTTCTCTGGTTTGGTAAAGCACGAGGAAGGGTTTCCTGCTAGGGTGAGAGCCCCAACGCTGGGAAGTCGGCCTTGGAAGGGCAAGTCTGCAGTGCAGGAAAATGGGTGGGAACGGGTGGTGGAAGGTGGAGGCAAGGAAGTCACTTGTAACTGCGGAGGTCCCACCCACAGGGCTGTGTCCTCAGCCCAAATCTAAGGGTGGGGACGAAGGCCTGAGCCTTCAGGGGCTAGAGTGACTGACGGGCGAGGGGAGAGACACAGGGGCCAGCTTAGGAGGGGCCTCACAGATGATCCTGGGGGGACGTCCTGTGTCCTCAGGCTGTAGCCGGTTTCCCTGGAAAGGGGCTCCCTCGGAGGCACCAGCCATGGGGTGCCTGAAAGCGGCACGGGGTCGGGGAATGGATGAGAAACTCCAGAGGAAGAGAACGGGGCGGGGGGGGGGGGGGATGCGAAGTCTAAATGCAGTTGCTGGGGCCCTTCCTTGGAGACCCGGTTCGGTAGGTGTGCAGTGGGGCCTGGTGACCGGCAATGTTCAAAAGCACCCCCTCGGGCCCAACAGGACCAGCGGGCCGCCGGCCCAGGAGGGGAGTCGGGGCATGTGGACGAGCGGCACGCGGCAGCGCCTGGGCGCTCCCTCAGAGGGGCCGCAGGTGACCCGCACAGAGGGGGCTCGCTCCCGGCCGCCGAAGCCCGGGACTGGTACCACTGCCAACATGCCCTGCTGTCGGCCCAGGGCCCGGCGGCTCCTCTCACACGGAGTGAACTGGGTCAGCCCCGACCCCTCGCCCCGGGATGGGAGACGTTAGGGGAAAAGTGCCACTTCTGCCCTGAAGAGAGAACCCTGCCAGAGGACAGTATTCCAAAGCTGCCTCCACGGAACACGCACGAGCGGCTTTCCTCGCGGGGGCCCTGCTGCCCTCGGAGAGGGTGCTCCAGCCCAGACCAGGGACCCCCCGTCGGTGCCTCCGCCACCTGCTGACCCGAGGAACGCGAGGGCCGAGAGGTTTGGTTCAGCTGCTTCCTTTATTAGAAACAAATGAGATGTAACCAGTGGGACTACAATGCATTTGGTACCTCCTCCCCGACCCGGGAAATGGATGCCCCTCCCACGGCCCCGAGAAAAGCCCAGACAAAAGGGAAGCTTCCCCCTCTGGTCCCAGGTTCGCACACCTTGCCGGCAGTCAGTATCTTTGAATTTAACTGAATGAGACTGTCCCGCACAACGTCCTAGGAGATAGCCCGTCGGCAGGCCTGCCTTCACTTTGCAGTAGGGTGACACCAAAGACGACCTGCGTCTCCTCTGGTTCGGGGGCAGGCGGGCCAGGTCACAAGAAGGCTGCCGCCTGGGTGGGTAGGCACTGGCCGAGGATGTGCTCGTTCCCCTCCTCTGGCCTGACAGTCAGGTCCTTACCCTCTGCCAGATGGCAGTTTCGTGAAGCTACCCAGGCCTTTGGGCCATCCTTTCAGTTGGTTAAATGCTGGTCATCTTTGGGCAAAGAATTCAGACCACAGGGACCCCCACACCTGGGCTTCAGTGAGCCAGTGAGGAAGGGGTCAATGGCAGTTAGATGAGAGTTGCAGGCCAAGGCCTGAATTTCCCATAAACTGGGTGTTGAGGTGGCTTGGTGTGGGCCAGCCTCCAAACCAGACATCAGCGTCTTTGAAAGCAGGCATGGGGGTGAGGGAGCCCTATGTACACCTCCACCCAGAGCTGAGGCCTCCTTTCTACCCAGCTCTCTCCCCACAAAAGACCAGAGGCCATGGGAATGTGCCAAGGGGTCAAATGTAGAGTCAATCCAAAGGCAGGAAGTAAACGTCTGGAAACATGGAGTCCAAAAGCCCAGTGGTGCCAGCAAGGAGTCCTCGTGGCAAAGGGTGAGGGCCGTGCCGGGGAGGCCCTCCAACCACGGCTGCCTGAGGCAGGTCCCAGGTGAAGAACTTGGGAGGCCCCAGGGTCGTTCCCTTGTTTGGTTCACGCCAGCCATGGCTCCACCATCCTGCGGGGCTCCTTGTGGGGAGGCCTGGAACCCCGAGCAATGGTTCTCTCTGAGCTCTCTGACCTGAAGTCCTGGCAAAGGTGGAGTGAAGAACCTGGGAACTGTTTGGACAAAAAAAGAAACTCAGAGCAGGCACCAAGCTGCCTCCTGCAGACCGGCGAGGCAGTGAGGAGGGCTGGGCAGGGTCCCCACCGTGACACAACAGCAGAGTCCAGGGAGCAGGCCACACGGTCTTGGAGGGAGACGACACGGGGGCCTTTCCAGGAGATCTGTTTCTTCTAGAGCAGCCACAGACTCACGGTTTCCATCCTGTGACGTGGGTCAACCGAGGCAAAGCTCACTCCCGGGGCTGTGGTGCACCCCCAATCTCAGCAACGGCTTGGCCCGTACCTGGCCCACAGCTGACCAAGCCAAGGACAGGAAGCCTTTCCAAGTTCCAGGTCCTGCCCAAGGTAGGAAAGAGTCGGGCACTTTGTTCTTTGATATCCTCAGATGCATGCACAGGGTAAGCTGCTCTGGGGAGTCTGGGGCGCTGGGTGTCTGTGAGGCTGTAAAGGCAAGCCCCTGTCTCTCGGACTCCTCCCGTCTGTGGAATGCAGTGCACATCTTGCTAAGAACAGCAGCTTCTTTGGTCTGGGTATCTTGGAGTCAAGGAGTCAAAGGTCAGCCTAGATCGCTGGGGCATGCAGTTTGCGGCACGGGGACAACGGGGACAAGGGAGGCCCCCAGCGGCCGCTGATGAGAATGCAGGACAGTGGAGTCGCGGGCTCCAGCAGCGGTCTACAGAGTCCAGCCCAAGCACAGTTTCCTTCAGCTCTGGGGACTCTGCACAATTAGTGTCTGGCAAACCCGAAGCCCGAAACTCCGCTCTGTTAGCTGTTAGCCTGCAGAGCAGGGCTTCCGTCAGTGGGAACTGGCTAAACCTGGCCTCCTGGCTAAGGCTTCCTCCCCCTGCAGGCAGCTGAAAGCGGCCGGGAAAGCCGCTCACACACACGCCCCGCTCTCCCCCGTTTACCTTCTCCTCGAGCAAAGTTCCATACAAGCCGGCACGGGGCTTTTCGACAATTCCACAGCCCAATCCTCCCCAAGCTACCTGGCTGAGCACAGCGGAGAAAGGCCTACACGGACAGCCACGGGACCTGAGGCTCCATCACTTTTGGGGGGACTGGCAGCATCAATAACCATCACCACCACCACCACAAAAATCCACAAAACATCATCAGCAAAAATCAGACTCACACCACGGCGACACGCGATCATTTCTGCCATCAAATCCAGATCAACGTCTGGCCACCGCTCCTCGCTACCACTTGCAGGCTGCGCATCTTGGAAAGGAGCACAAGAGATGGCTAATGGATCGGAAGGCACAGGCCAGGGGCTGGCGGCTGAAGGGGTCTGGGTATCGTCCCCACGCCATCCTTAGCCAGCCACCCTAGGGCTATCAGGGTGCTGGCTCTTTGCTCTAAGACGAGCTCAGCAGGGATTGCACTGGTACGGTCTCCACAAGGTCCCAGATACTACAAGGTCAAAGGTCCCCTTCAAACTGCCAGTCACCCCAGGCAGTGGAAAATCAATGTCATGCGGGACTCATCCCTCTAAGGTTGGCAACAACAGCTGGCTAAAGAGCCCTTTAAAATCAGTTGGCAGGATGACTTCCCACAGGGAGCAGGGCGAGGATGGAAGAAGGGACCCACAGATGGTCCCCACTGGCCAGTGAAAGAATACGGAAAAGGCCTGGTCCCTGCAGGGCAGCCTGGGTAGGGTCGGCCCATCTAGGACTTCACCTGCGGTTCTGCGAGCTCTGGGCCCGCCCCAGGCTCAGCACCGGCCCTCCACTTTTCCCTGCCTTCTCAAAGCTAATCATTTCAGCCCATCCAGAAGGGGGATGGAGAGGATCCCCCACATCCTCTTTCTCCTACTCCCCCAAGAAAAGTCAATGCCTGCTTTCAGAACAAAACAATTCACTGTACCAGTATGTGTTTGTCTGCCACAGTCCCTGGATTCTAATTCTGAGGAATGACCTGGATTCAGTTTTTCATTAGAGACCAAACATCCTTGTACATTTGGAACATGAAAGATATTTAAAATATTTATATATATATAATATATATATATACTTTTATTATTCACCCGTTAACTCCATAATATGCCAATCACGAGCTAGTTTTCAGCAGTTACATTCCCTTGATCACGGCTGCAGAAGGATGTGATTAATTGGAAAACAGGGAGACCAGAGACACGGCCGGAGGTGACATCACGCAGCCTACGCCATTGCGATACAACTGTCAAGTTCAGTGGCGGTTTGGTAAAGCCGGTTCAGTTCTGTTCCCTTTGCCAGGGATTCTCACGTTTGTGAAAATTGGACCAACAAGTGGTGGGGTTCCATTTCCTGGTTTGACTTCTCAGTGGCTTTATCCAGAATCTCACTGGCAACTGATTACTGTAACACCAGCCCAACCTAAGAGAGCCAACGGGGAGAGGCAGAGTTGAGCTGACAGTTGTCCTGAGTCTGTCCCCCTCCCCTCTCCCACCACCTCCCCCACTTCAGAAGTCCCACAGGACTGAGTCTGCACAGGGCCACTGGGCTGTGGGAGCGGGCTCACTCAACCTCTACAAGGGTCTTCCTACATCCATCAGATCCTTCAAGAAAGCAACCGCCAGCAACCTGAGCATCGCTAGTCCCCAGGCCTCTCTCCAGCTCATCTGTCACTTATTTTGTAAATCCTGATGATACCACAGCCTGGAGCTGCCCTCTGGAGCTGACAGAGGAAGGGCTGAGGATCACGCTGGGATGAAGGCAGGAGCCCAGCAGAGGAAACCCCTCAGATCCTTAGACTAGAACCTTCCTGGCCAAGCGCGGGCAGCTGGACTTGCAGTTCCCTGAGGTGGTCCCCAGTGCCCTGCTGAGGTGGCTCACCTCGTGGGGAAAAAAGCTGGAGACAAGCTTCCTGCTTTTGGGTGGCTCTGGGGCCTGTTCCCTCTGCCACCCTCACACCAGCTGCTGAAGGGGAATGCGGACCCTGCCACTGCTGGGGCTCAGACCCGTGGCCCCATCTCTGCCGGCAACACGAACCCCCCGACCCCAGCTGCACTGGGCACGGACATACCTTCTCTGCTCCCATGCTGGGGCATTTCCAATTGTAAAGGTAATACTGCAGGTTGCCGTCCCCTATGCCAAACTTGAGCTTCTCCAGGAAGGTTTTGTTCTCCATGAGATCCAGTGCATTGAACACGTCGAACCCTTTCTACAGGGCAGCGGGGAGAAACAGGAACAGGTGAAGAGAGAGAAAAGCTGCCTCGCCTTCCTGCCCGTTTCTATCACATCACAGCCCATGGCGCAGGCAGCCGGGAGAACACTCTCCCTTCGGAAGCCCCGGCTGCATCCTCGTTAGATGCAGACTCCAGCCAGCACCTGCTCTCCAGGGGTGGTTCTCATGACTCTCGGAACGCCACCCCACCTGGCCCCTCGTGGCCCAAGTGCATCCTTGTGTCCTCAGTGTCCGGGTCACTGCTCCTATGGTTCCATGTCAGGCTCCCCAAAACACCGGTCACTGGCACGGTCTTCTCTGGAGACCAAGCCCCGAAGCACTTCCTCTGAGAAGCTGGCTCCTATCAGCGGCTCAGCAGCTGTGCTGTCCCTTCACTCCCCGACACCCCGGCTACTAGGCCTCTGCTGTGGACCCTGTGCCTTTACGGCAGCGGATACGCTGCTCTTAGACCATGACAGACACTTCCTAAATCTCACCCAGTTTACCAGAAGGACTTGCAGGGCACACGCTGACCTGGCCACCAACCGGCCGGCCCATGCGGCCTCGTCTCAGTTCGGGCAGGACCCACGATGAAGGGCTGACCGACGCTGACCTCTTCGGGGGTCAAAGAGGCCTGGGCCCCACCCCCCATGCCCTACAGTCAGCCGCTCCAATGACTCACCACGACAGAGACCAATCTCCCCATTCCCACGCTGGGGAAGTCGTAAGGAGAACCCCTTTACTCCCGCAGCAGGCCTGGCTATTCAGGCTCCTTGGCAGCGCCGCCCGTGAGAACGAAACTCACTGAAATAAACCAGGAGTTCAGTGCCTTCCCTTCACGTGGATGCTCCCTGCTCCCTCCTAGTTTTAGGCTGCTGGCTGAGACGGGCTGGGCCCCTTCCTACGCGGAGCGGGAGGCCGAGGAGGGCCGGAAGCCTCGGCGCACAGACAGCTGTGCTCCCCACCGCTCCCACTGCCCTGTCCCCACGCATCTCCGGGCCCTCCGGTCTGCTCCTCACCATTTTGGCGAGAACAAGGGCGTCGCTCATGAGGTCTAGAAGAGGGGTCTGGGTGTGGACGTTGTAGAAAGAATAAGCAGCCTTTAGACTCTTGTGGGTCGGATGGTTCATGATGGTGGAGGGAAGCGTGTAAAAGCTCAGGAAGTCTGTCACCTCACCATTTGCATTCTGCAGGGAAAACAACACTAGGAGGCAATGTCGCGCACGCGCGGGGACCCTGCAGCCCGGGAGCGGCATGCTTCCTGCTGCTCCCACACCGCCCTCAGCAGCTCTGCCCCCCGAGATGACTGGATACACACAGAAACAGGGGGTGCAGGCAGGAGAGAACGCACTGGCCCAGGGCACTTGAGGACAGAGCCAGGAGGAGAATCCAGGCCGGACTGCGGCTGACCCTGCCGAGCGCCCTCCCTGCGCCTCGTCAGGGGCTCCTCGCGGCTCACACGCCCGCAGACTGTCGCGGACGCCTGGCCAGCACTACCACAAGCACAGCAGCCGGGGCTCAGAGGCCTACCTGAGGAAGAGGGGCCTAGTCCTCTCTACTCCGTCCCCCCGCCCCGGGGACTGCGGGAGGGGGCAGAGGCAAGAAGGGCTCACACCAAGTCCAGAGGGTATCCTGTTAGCAAGGACAAGCTACAGCTTCCTGTCTTCAGGGAGGATCGAGCAAGGAGGGTCAAGGAAGGCCCCCCTAGAGGGGGCCAACACTGCCAGCAGTCGGGTCTTCAGTGCCCGAGCCTGGGGAACCTAGCCACTGAAGGAGAATGCCTCTCAGGGGCCCAGGACACCCCTCCGCACTCACCTCCACCACGAAAGTGTCGATGATATTCTCCTGGGGGTAGAACCAGTGCTCCACCTCCTCCTGGCTCATGACTGGCGTGAGGTGAAACTGCTTCAGGTACCTGGTGAGAAGCTGGTGCACTACTGGAATGTCCTTTTTTTCCATTGGTCGCAGCCCAGCTGTCTTGGGCGTCTGGAAGGCAGACAGACGAGACGGGTGTCAGGTGTGCTGAACACGAGCCTCCTGGCTCCCTCTCAAGTCCTGAGGGCACCAGAAACTTGACACGGTCTCCCTTCCTACCCCAACCCTGGAGGCATCCACCCAGGCCATCAAGAGAGAACCCTCAGTCACCCTTGCCAGCGGCCTCTCACTCATGGCCCCCACGCGCTCAGGGGCGAGTCCTGCCTTGTCAGTATCTTTGGCCCTCCCCCCCCTTGTGAAGGCCACCCTCTCTGGCTGAGGCTATTGCTTCGATCTCTTATCCACATGGCCCAGGCCACCTTCCTAAGAAAACACAACCCAGCACGCCCCTCCCTTGCTCTAAACTCCCTAACAGGGAGCAGAAGACCTTCCACCCCCTGGACCAGTTGGCAGACAGTTCTGACTGTCCTTTATGTCCCTCTAGCCCAGCAGGTCCCAACGGGGGTGATTCTGAGTATAGGACAATACTCTGAGACATTTTCGGTTGTCACAACTAGAAAGGGTGCTATCGACATCTAGCGGGTAGAAGCCAAGGAAACTACCAAACATCTTATAATGAATAAGACAGTCCCCACGACAGAATTACCCAGCCCCAAATGTTAACGGTGCCATGAGGGAGCAAAACCCTCGTGGACGTGCCGGCGTGGGCCCAGGCCCGGGCTACTCGTCGACCTGGCGAAGCCCTTCTTGGCTCCTCTCCTCCGAACCCTCACCACCTTGTCCCACCGAGCTGTGGCTGATCTCCTATGCTGGTCTCTCTCCTCTAGACTAGGAGAGCCCTTCACAGACCAGCTCCTTGCTTAGGCATATTGGAACCCCCAGGCCCAGCAGAGTCTACACCCGAAGCCCGCTCTGCCTGCGTGCTCAGACTCTGCCGCAGCAGTCTGCCTCCAGCCAGGCCTGCTGCAAGTTAAATTCTGAAGAAAAGCACCAAACTCCTGGGACTGCATCTTAAACCAGGATCCCACCCCACAGCTGCTTTTTCTTAAGAAAGGCTTCAGTGGAATGAACCCATCTCATGCTCTGGAGTAAATCCTGGGGCTGATAGAACATCCCCAAAGGTTCAAGACACAAAGGTGGGGTCAGCCAAATCTGAAAGCAGCGTGGCGTTACAGTTTATGTACCTCAGTTGCTGCGTGATTCAACTGCTTCCCTGTGTAGAAACTGCTTTTAAAAGAGCTGTTCCAGGACCTCAGCCACCCAAATTCCTCAGTAAGCCTGATGTCTCCGGGGAACACTTACTGACCTCATTTCTACATGGCAGCAGCTCCCACAAGGACACCTCGAATTCTGCACTGAAAGGGGCTCTCACCCACAGGCGGGGAGATCCAGAGACATTCTTCTGGGCTACGACACCGCTTTAAGAATGCTGCCTGTCTAGAACTCAGGACAAATCTGTCTTCACAACAGGAAGAGGAGACGCCATCACAGCCCCCCCCCCAATCTGTTTTTTGGGGCAGTATCCAACTGACACGGCTGACCCGGACCCAGTGCTGGGCCAGCCCGATCCCAGGGTGATTAAGCCAGTCTGGTGGCTGACGAAGGCAAGCGGGCAGCCCCCTGATCAGCGGGCACCAGTAACCGCGCTGACCCTGGAAGCTCTGCGGGAGGACAAGCGACTTTTAGGTCATTAGGATCCTGAAACCAGGCGCAACGGGAGAATGAGGAGCAGCATTTCTTTCATTGGAAAATTAGGTAAACTGAGACCCAGAAAAGAAAACTAGCTGACTCCAGGCTGCCTACTCCTTCAACAGACAAATCTGGATCGGGGGACTGGGATTAGAAATCTGGGCGCCCCGAGGCACCTGGGTGGCTCAGTCGTTAAGCGTCTGCCTTCGGCTCAGGTCATGATCCCAGGGTCCTGGGATCGAGCCCCGCATCGGGCTCCCTGCTCAGCGGGAAGCCTGCTTCTCCCTCTCCCACTCCCCCTGCTTGTGTTCCCTCTCTCGCTGTGTCTCTGTCAAATAAATAAAATCTTAAAAAAAGAAATCTGGGTGCCCCTCACAGGCTGGAGTCACCCCTTCTTTCCCCAACCGAGGCCTGGCAGACGCTCTGTAGCTTATTTACACGGGCTCTGGGCAGCGTTGCGGCTCAGTGAGCAGGTTTATCTATTTGTGCCTCGCTTGGGCTACAGTCACAAAGACTAGGTGTTCTCTGAGCTCATCAACAGATGACACGGAAGCTAGCCCAGGTGCAGATGCAAGAGAACTGAGAAAGTCAAACTAAAATAAAATCCTCGCTACAGACAGCAGAGGCAAGAGAGACAGGAAGTCGAGGAATTAGGAAACTCGAGTTGGGTCACTCTTTGGACCCCCGCCCTGCCCAGGCCTTGATGCGTTCCCGCCGAGGGCCCAGCTCTCAGCCTCTCCACCCCCGCCCATCGCGCCCGCAGCACCACTCGCCTCTGGCAGTCGGTAGAGCTTCATGGTGCGCTGCATGGTCATATTTCTGCTCAGGTGGGAGAACTTCACTTCAATTAGCTTCCGTGGGTTTAGGGACCGATGCCAGTACCTGTGGGGGACACAGATGTCCTGTCCTCAGAGGATTCTGGCAAGTCCCGTGGAGAGCGAAGGCATGGAACTCTCCAGATGGCCAGCAGGTGGCGGGAGAGACCCGCCAGGCCCCATGAGCGCCAGTGCCCGGTGGTGGGCTCTCCAAAGGCACCCCAGTAAATGCAGGGCTGCCACAGCTCTTTCCGAATTTTCTATTTTTCCTCCCCAAATTCTAAAAGCCAAGTCCATGAAAAGACTTGAAGTTCCCAGAATGTGTACCCTCCTCCTTCCTCCTCTACTGCATTTGCCTGGTGTTTCACTTCTGATGTTCTTGAGGCAGAGACTGTTCAATTCCTTCAAACAGCTTTCTGAGGCAGAGGCGGTCCCCTGTCACCCAGGGATCAAACATGTTCTCTTTGGCCCACAGAATATTCAAAATAAAATTGAGCCAACCCCTTAAAACTCTTGGACATTTACCATCAAAACCCAGATGTGGGCTGGTCCTTAAAAACTACCACAAAACCCCAGTGGAATGACCTATTTCCAAAAGGCAGGAATCAGTGGGAGCGGAGGACGGCTGACCCCTCTGGACAGGGCACCCACTCTCCAGTCTGTTCCTACAAATTCCCCCTTCACTCTTCCGTGCTCCCCCCATCCCGGCTCCTGTGGGCAGCCACCAGCCATCTCGTCAGGCAGGAGAGAAGCAGGGCATGCACCGACTGAGGGCCAGAGCTGTGACTCAGCACACGAGCTCCTTAGCGAGAACGAGCACACCAGGACCTTGAGGGCCTCGCAAGAGATCTCTACCTGCAGGTGCCAACAGGCTTTGGTAAAACCACCCCGGCAGTGTAAACAGCTTGGAAAATGCCCTCCAGGTGAACTCGCCGGGTTATCTCCCGGATCAAGACCGGAGCCACCCTCTTGGAGCGCAGCTTCTTGTGGACACACAGGAAGTTGATCTCCACCATCTTCTTCTCTCTGGAGAGAAAGGAAAAACCCCCAGTACCCAGCTTTTAATGGGGAAGGTAATCCCTTCAAGACCCGGGCGCCACCACATAGGGAGGGGGCCCTTCAGCTGAGGCTTGCTTTCTGCCACCGCCTGCACCCAGCAGCTGGTACTTGGGGTCCCCCCGGGCCCGCTGCCCCAGGCAAGGAACCCACTCCTTTCAGCCAGACCCCACGTTCAAAAGTAGGTGAGACTCAAGCCAACTCCTTTATTTGGCCGCATCACCAGGATCTGCCTGGTGAACCCCCACCAGCAGGATGGGGGAGTCCCACCTCTAGCTGGCAGGGCACCTCAGACTAAGTCAAGGGCTATCCTGGAATTTCAAGGGTTCTGACTCCCACAAGAATCCCAGGCCTGTAAGCCCAGAAGACTGTGGCGGCTGGTTCTGACATTTCCAGGGAAAATGAAGAGCAGAGCTCAGAGGCCCCACAACTGTTCGGACGTTGAGTCACACTGGCTCGGGCCCACTTATGAAGCTGCTCAAGTGCACAACCGTGTGACAGGTATTGTAAGTGCCAACACGGGGCCCCTGTGCAGGTATACTGGCCCTCACGGTGGGCCCCATCCAGCCCAGATTGCGAACAAGAGAACCAGTAGCAACTCTGAGCAAAGGAGACGGTTCCTGTCATGAATTTCTATTCCCAGGACCTGAGTTCCTTCCCTTTACCTTTTCTTTCGTGAAGGTATGTGCATCTTTTCTACCCTGCTCCCAGACCAAGGAGGATGGCAGCGATGTGGGGAATGGTGCTGGTGCTTACGTGTCATAGATGTGGATGTTTGCCGGGATGGCACTGATGAACCCAACCAGCTTCCGACTTGACACCACTCGAACCCCGCAGTGCCACTGGGGGAGCCAGCCAGGTGGCCGGAGAGCCCTAGAAGAGAGACAGTAACCACTGACCAGTGCACTGGGCAGATGGCTTGCGCACCATGCCCGAGTCTGTTCTCACCTCCTGCTCCACCTCCCTGGAGGTTAAGAGCTAATTCTCTTTAGGGCTAAGCCCTCCCGGACACACATGGGGTCGAGCCAGAGCCCCTTCCTGCTGCTCAGCCCACCTGGCCTACTCACCCACCCAATTCAAGGCTGTCATACTGAGGACTTTGCAACCGATCGAATTTCTTTGTGCCTGCTCACTTTCTAGCTTAAGCCAGATGACCGGCTCAGCGTCCAAGGGGTCCCATGGTTGTCAATCGATTATGGAGCCCCCGGAGCTCTGGTTTCCACCCGCCCTCTGGGCACCATCACCCCCTCTATATGCCTGCCCAAGTCTTCCCTTTCAGGCAGTCCCTCTCTAGTTCAGCCTCATGCCTCTACATCCCCGGATACTCAACACGCGCCAGGAGGCTGGAGGCCTCAGCCAAGCAGGGCCATTTTCAGATAACTAAGCACATTCAGGAACTGGATAGAAAATGACTCTTTTTTCTTTTGAAATCTCATCCCTCCTTCCCTTCCTACACCAAGTCACCATATAACACATGATCTCTTCTTTGTGTGATGGACTCTGATGCCACCAAGGCCTCTCTCACCCAGTCATTCCACCTTAAATAAGGTTTTGATTCTTAGCTCCACTGGAAACAACTTTCCTTCAGATGTGGGAACTCAAAATGGACACCCTAATTTGCCATTCGAAGGCTGGTTCTTAGCAGGATGAGAAAGTGGGCCCACCGCGCGCCCCACCCGAGCCGCCAGGAAGGCCTCATGGCTCACCACAGCAGGAAGTCCGGGGAGTAGTCGAATCGGAACATATTGTCGTCGTCCTCCACATAATTCTCATTCAGGAGGCCGTAGAGCTCTTTCAGCTGCAGAGACACAAGCAGCTGCTTCAGAGCCACCCTGCCATGGGCGGGGCGGGGGTGGGTGGGGAGAGGCAACCCCACCTCCCTGGGGCTCTAAGCTTTCCAGAAGGACAAGGCAAACTATGAAAAACCATGTTTCATCTCATAAATCCTTTTCGCTCCAGGCATGAGGGACTCTTCTGGAACAAGCACCCTAGCTGTACGAGGAAACCGAGCCACCGAGAGGTAGAGCGGCAGACTTCAGGACATATGGTGGCAGAGCAAGAATGTCATCCACCTAACCAGAATGTCATCCACCTAACCAGCCGCTCCATCATTAAGACAGGGAACAAATGAAGAGATGAACAAGACAAACAAATGCACGGCAGAAAGGTATCGCCTGGGGGAGCTACAGAGCTTAACTCTCAATCTGCCTGAGAAGTCAGGTGCTATTTAATGCGGCATCTTGAGGGGCGCCTGGCTGGCTCGGTTGGTGGAGCATGTGACTCTTGATCTTGGGTTGGTAAGTTTGAGCCCCACATTGGGCGTAGAGATTACTTAAAAAATAAAATATATTTTTTAAGATTTTATTTATTTATTTGACAGAGAGAGAGACAGCGAGAGAGGAGCACAAGCGGGGGAGTGGGAGAGGGAGAAGCAGGCTCCCCGCGGAGCAGAGAGCCCGATGCGGGGCTCGATCATGACCTGAGCTGAAGGCAGACGCTCAACAACTGAGCCACCCAGGTGCCCCAAAAAATAAAATCTTAAAAAAAAAAAAAAAAAAAGAAATGTGGCGTCTTGGGCAGGCCTCAGAGGCAACAGATAGGGGGCCAAGGTGGGGTATGTGTGTATGTGTGGGTGTGTCTGCTCCAACCTGCTTGGATCAGCTCTCAAGAGTCCTTAAGGAAGGCCTGGGTAGCATCTGTCTCCATATGATGGCAGGGCTCACTGAAAGTGGCCCCCAAACCACACTGAGGCCTGCCCAGGCCTACTCACCACACCACGGTCCCCCAGGTCCAAGGCATCCCAGGTGAAGCCCTGGGGCAGGGTATAGGGCTCCTGGCGGATGTTGTCTTTGTCAGGCTCCACAGGCCCATGGGTGTTCACCACTTCTCCTAGAAGAAGAGCATAGCTGTGAGCCTCACCCTGTCTTGGCGCGGGGGTGGGGTGGGGGTGGGGAAGAGGGAGGGAAGGGGCTCAGCGCAAACATCGACCACAGCAAATTCCTCCTGTCCCTAGGAGCCCTCCGTCTGAAGAACACCCTGTGCTTGGCAACTGCAGACCATCTCTCCAGCTACCCTGAGTCCCCAGCTGAGAGCCAACTCGGTAGCAAAGCCTCAGAACAATCACTAAGATCCAAGGTGGTTGGTTTTTTGGAAATTCTTTTAAATCTCCCTTTGGTTACTAAATGGCAAACATTTGTCTTGACTAATTTGGCTTCCTGCCTCCCGGCTGGTATAAAAAAGACCGTCATGGTCCTGGCCCAGGCCCATCAACCTGGATGGATTTAGAAGGAGCTGCAACAAGGCTGCTTTTGTGTCAACAGCAACAACAATGTACTGGGCCCACTGCTGAACCAGATGATGGCATCGAGGCGCCAGGCTCCATCTCGGCCTGGCCAGCCTCGGCTTTCAGCAACATGGGCCAGTTAACCACTGCTGCCGACTTGGTTCCTCGGTGCTTACAGAGTCCTACAAGCGTCTGTAGCCTGAATCGCTGATCTACACGATGCTGCTGGCTAGTCACCCTCTGACCCAACCTCTGCACCCTGGACAGACGCCGCTCCTCTGGGGAGCATGCGGACAGGGCTCAGGGGCGCTCACGTGATACAGCCCTGATGCCCTCGCGGCCAAACTGGACTCGTGATACACCTGAACAAACCGATCACTTAATTGTGGCCCTTGGAATGATTCGGTTTCCACAGTTCAGAGCTTGTTCACATTCACACTGGTAAGAACGCAATGTTTAGTACATTTTGAAAACAGCCTTCGAAAGGGACCCACTCAGTACACTGCTTTGATCCCAGCATCAGGCTCTGTACACACTCGGCACTCAATTCAGGATTTTACTGACTTGCAGACCCCTGGCCCAAATACGTCATTCTAACGTGTTAAAGGCAGAGGTAATGGATCCATGGGGCAGGTGTAGTGGAAGAGGCCACCTCAGGCTATGAGCTGAGGACAACACCGTTAGGACTGACCATCTCACTCTCTCTCACTCAGCACATGTACCAAGCACCAACCTGCACCAGACATTGTGCACAAGGATACAGCGGGGAAAAGACAAGGTCCCTGTCCCCACAAGATGGACCATCTTCTGGGGAAGTATTTAATAAGTACTAGGGGTCACAAACTGGAAAGTGCAGGCAACAATGGGGACACATAGCAAGGAAGCAACCGGCCACCTCCAATTTACCACCCGGCTTCCCAGGAGGTTTGCTTGGGAAAGAGGTTATATTTTTCTTCCCTAGTTTAGAAACCAGCCTTTTGATTTATTCATAAAATAGCCCTTATGACTTAATTTAATGTAAATCAATCTACTTCCAATCCACTGCCATGTGAAATGTTTAGAGCCTACAAAGCCAAGAGGGCTAGACCCTTGGAAAGTTCCAAGAATCTCCCTGCTAGTCTTGAGGAGGTGCTGGTCAGTTCCCTGCCTTGTACTGAACTTATACCTTTTCCAAAATACATTTAACTTCAGAACCTCCTTCTTCTTATTTTTTCCTAAATGATTTCCATGGGCAAGATACTGGTAGTCTTCCCCACTGTACTACACTCATCTCAAGGCTGAATCTTTTCCCTTAGGCTGGTTACTAGGCCCTTCATGCAATGAGCATTTCCATTCACTCCTTCACCTCGTGTTCATGGAATCCCAGAGCGCAGGAGTTCTGGAGCGGGAGCCGGTGAACGGGATGGCATAGGCCCTCATCATCATGGGCACCCAAAAGACAGGTGAGCAGGCACCTGCCCCCCAGCAGGATGAGGGCCCCTGACCATGATAAGCCAGCTCTCCTAGGTCATCTCAAGGCTGTTTGAGATCTGCAAGACATAGCTGACAAAGCAGAGTTCCAGGACACAATGAAAAAACTGACACCACTTTTAACAGGTTCACAGTCTGGGGTGCCAACGGAGCTGAGGAGAGGCCCTAGACTCCTGCACTGTCCTCCAGCCAGCGCCCAGCATCACGGCTTCCGCCTGTGCAGAGAGGGTCTTCACCTTCACAGGGCTCTTGAGCGCCTCCTGCTGCGCAGATGTGGGAGATTGCCACAGAGAATGGTGGGGGTACAGCCAATGATCACTAGGCCACCTGGACCCAGTAACCGATTAAGGATGCTGGGAACTTTAAAAAGAAAACCCTGGACTTTAAGAGGGCTTCGTTCTGTACACTCTCCCCCCAAAATTCTCTCTGCCTTCCAACATCAAAGATCCAAAACAACGCACCACAGCAACCGTGAACGACTTGGAAGCAAAGAATGTGAGATCTCGGAGACTTTAAACCAAACGGACAAGACAAGGAAGAGAGTGAGAGTGGGGAGGCTTCCCAAAAAAACCACGTACAAGTCTGAGCTCTCCCCTGGGTAGTTACTTGTACAAACGAATCTAAGAGTGGCGAAATTCCAAACCATGGAGGGGATCAAAAGTTTATCTGGGAACAGAATTGTGCATATATTTGGGAACACAGAACTGTCACTGTCACACAGCCTAAAACAGCTGCTGTTCAGAAGGCCCTTTGATGGCGAATTTAGGACTGCAAACTTCTAAAAAATTCCAGGTCTCTTCAGTGGAATACAACCTAATCACACCTCTCCCAACAAGGTGGGGAGTAAACAGTACACTTGATAGGCGTCATGGCCACTGGTGCCATTTCCCACCACTGGTGGTAAAAATCACGGCAAGAAGCTGTAAGTCGCACTGCTCTGAGGAGAACTAGGCTGGTACCTCAGCCATGCGGACCAACTGAAGCCTCTAATGTGCTGCTCTCTGCGGGCTGCCTCACGAAAACAACAGAAGCCTTCCTTTGGGCCTGACCATGGACCTGAAAGGCAGACTGGTCAGGTGCTCAGAACAACGGCCCTCCCCCCAGGACCCCACACCACACATGGCCCAGGAGGCACTTCCAGAAGAAATACAGCTGAGCTCGTTCCACTTTCCTGAGGGCGTCAGGGCTCCTGAAGCACCTGTGTGGCTTTCTCACAAACTTTCTGACAACAAAGCTAGAGCACTCTCTATATTTACAGGTGGAGAAATGGAGGCAGACAACATAGAGTAACTGGACTGACGAGGAACAGAAGTCCATGGACCCCAATTCATCTCTTTGAAGAATGGAGCTAAGTTACCCATTTGCAAATTCTTAACGAAAAATAAAATTGGACCAAAAACCCCAAAACCCATCTGAAAACTGGGCCAAGATGCCTGGCGGCACCACAAAATGCCTCATCAAGCATTTCACTCAGAGGTGGAGCGTGTTGCTCTCTACATTCTTCCTGCTCCTTGGCGGGGAGTGGTCACTGGGACCCATTCCTGGTAATGCCCTACTAACAGCATTACTGTGACCCAAAGCCTTGCTGGAGGGCTTAGCCAGTGGGCCTAGGACCTGGCTGACCTGGGCAGCCTGACAGACAAGGCGGATGGGTCGGGCCAGGGTTCTGGAATAGCGCTGGCTGCCGAATCACCACTCCTCACATCCAGGTAGTGCTTGCTTCTGGATTGTGACTGAGCTGTCCAAGAACTGCATCTGCTCTAGAGCAGTGTCTGAAACCCGCAAAGTGGACACAAACGCCCTCCAGGTTCCAATTCTACAGGTCTGAGGTGAGGCCTGAGAGTTTGCACGTCTATAAGCTCTTAGGCAATGCCCACCCTGCTGGTCTGAGGACCACACTTTGAGTAGTACTGCCCAATTATCACAAAGACCCCACCTGTGGAATAGATCATCTCTGTGGGCACAGCCGCCCCTCTCCTCTCTTCAGCCTTTGGCCCTGCCCTGCCCCCCCCCCCCAACATTCTGGAAAAGACCAGTCACTTAAATTTGGTATCTGAACACATGTCTTCTCAACACACTTTCTCAGTCACAGAGAAAACAGGCATTGGGCCATCAATAGGTCCAGAATCATGGTGCAACCGCTCCAGAAATTTTTTGTCAACAGTGACATCTGAAGTTAGCCATCATCGTTAGCTGTGGCTCAATCTCAGCAGGCATCTCTAACTCTACTATGTCAGTCTCTCTAGAATCCTTTGAGCTTTTCTGCTTGTCCCATCCCTTTAAGAGCTCAGTATAGCTTTTTTAAAGGGTGCCAACCAGACCTGCACAGGGCATTCCCGGGGTTGAGCCATCACTGTTAAGCAAAATGTCAAGTTACGTGTAGTTGGGAAGCATGCACTGGCTGAGAGACAAAGGGAAAGGGCTGAGGGGGGCGCCTGGGTGGCTCAGTTGGTTAAGCGTCTGTCTTTAGCTCAGGTCATGATCTCAGGGTCCTGGGATCAAGCCCCACATTGGGCTCCCTGCTCAGCAGCCTTCTCCCTCTGCTCCTCCCCTCTGCTTGTGCCCTCTCTCTCTCAAATAAATAAAATAAAATCTTTAAAAAAAAAAAAAAGGGGAAAGGGCTGGGGACTCGGCCCACTCCAGGGCCAGACATCTGCCCGATAAACAAGACGGTCTCTCTACAAAATCTCTGTAGGAAGACAGACCCGTGAGCACACAACCCCACTCGGGCTGTGCCAAAATACTGTTTTTCTTTGTAGCTTTATAGTAGATGATGATGGACTAAAGGAATCAGTACTTGTTCTCAATATGTACTCCTGTGAACCAGTAGGTCCCTGAGCATTAGTGTTTTCTATACAGCATTTTTAAGACCACCCTCTAAAAATAACCACCAAGGAACGCCAGGACTCTACCACCCTCCCCCCACAAATTCGGTGTGGCACCCAAAGCACAGCTAAGACACATCCTTCCCCATCCCCTGGGGAAGAAAGCACATACATACCCAGTTTGGGGACAGGCTGCGTGTCCCAGAACTGGTAGCTTCGCTTGCTAGCCTCCTCCATGGTTTTGGCAGGCCCCTGACCCACTGAGAACAGTTCAATGGCCTTCTGTATTTCCTGGATCCTCTCGGCTGGCAAAGAGTTCATCTGGATGAGATAAAGTTGGGGAGAGAAAAGGCTCATTATTTTAATAAGCACTTTTGATTAATCACAAGTGTAAGCGTTAAGGGGTGCAACTCAAGGAAGGGGTATGGTTCCTCCATCCCAAACCCAGAGGTCAGATGTCATATGACAACCAGAGAAAGAGTGGTTGGCGATGGGCTCTCTGAAGGGTGGGTGCTTCCTACGGGGTTTCTCCTTCTTAGTCTCATGATGTTTGGTGGCAAAAGGAATACATGCTCAGTGTAAAATTTCAAACAATGCAGAAATATATACTACATATAGAAAGTAAACACCCAACAATCCCGCCCCTTAAATATAATCCTTATCATCAACAGTCTTAATTTAGGAGGTGTAGGGTGAGAAGAGGCAAATATAATTTCACACTTTTTTGCATGCAAGCTTCAAGCACACACACGCACAATTTTCCAAAAAACTAGAATTGGTCATATGGTATTATTCTACATGCTGTTCTTCCTTAAACACTAAGTCTTAGGGATGCCTGGGTGGCTCAGTCGGTTAAGCGGCTGCCTTTGGCTCAGGTCATGATCCCAGGGTCCTGGGATCGAGTCCCACATTGGGCTCCTTGCTCAGTGCCCTTGCCCTCTCCCTCTGCCTGCCACTCCCCCTGCTTGTGCTCTTTCTCTGACAAATAAATAAATAAAACCTTAAAAAAAATAAAAAACACTATGTCTTAGAGACCCTTCCATGTGGACATGCAGACCTGCTCATTCGAACTGAGTCCACTTTGTGGATAGAGCACAATATATTTTGCAAGTCCCTCGCTGATGGCATTTTCGTGATTTTGTTCTTCAGCTTTACAAAAAATGCCATAATGAACTTTCTTGTACATCTATTTTTGCTCACTGGGATATGTATTCCTGCCAGATAAAGTCTAAGAAAGAGATTTTCTGGGTCAAAGGATATGCACATTTGAAATTGTAATATATATTGTCAATTTGCTCTCTAAAAAGAGAATATCAGTTAATAATCCAATGAACAGTGTGTTCATTTAATATGAATTAATAACCCAGTGAGCATGTGTTTCTCCTGACCCTCATCATTAGATTTACCAAATCTTAAACTCTACCAATCTAGGAGGAAAAAAATATATTAATTTTAATTTTTTTCATTGTCAATTTAACTATCTTTTCATACACTGATTGAACATGTATTTTTAATTGTGTAAACTGCCTACTCATTTCATGATTTTAAACTGATTGGTTCAAATACTGCAAATATCTTCCCAGTCTGTTGTTTATCTTTTTAACTTCTACAGAGATTATTTAAATTTGTCAATTTTTCTTTTATGACTTCCAGGTCTTATGTCAGGCTTACGATTATATAAAAATACTCATAATTTCTTCTGGTATTTTTACTAAACCATTTTTTTAAATTTAGATTCAGAAGTCCAAGGAGAACATAAACTAACATGTTTACATTGCTTATTCCTGGGAAGTAGGACAAGCGATTTTTTTCTTCCTCTTGTTAGGTTTTTCCTAAATTCTTGACAATGAACTGCACCCCTCTCACAAAGAGGGAAAGGGAGGCTATGTAAATGGTATTTTGTTAAATGTTTCCAATTCCAAAGTGAACCATTCTGACACATGCTGGAGCTCAAATACCCGTAGAGTCTTCCAAACACCCACCCCCAGACAAACTCATGAAACAAATAAAAGTCTCTAAAGCCAAAGCATGGGCTTGGGCTAGAATCCCTGACCCAACGACCTGGCTGAGCACTGCTCTCATCTTTATTTTTTTTTAAGTAGGCTCTATGTCCAACGTGGGGCTCAAACTCTCAACTCCTAGACCAAAGTTGCATGCTCATGGTCTTAGGTGGCTTAGTCGGTTAAGTGTCTGCCTTCAGCTCAGGTTTTAATCCCGGAGTCCTGGGATTGAGTCCTGGGCTCGAGCCCCAGGATGAGCTCCCTGCTCAGCAGGGTATCTGTTTCTCCTTCTTCCTCTGCCCTTCCCCCGCTTGTGTGCACACGTGCTCTCTCAAATAAATAAATAAAATCTTAAAAAAAAAAAAAAAAAGAGTTGCATGCTCTACCACCTGAGCCAGTTAGGCACCCCACTGCTTGCATCTTTAATAAAATGAAGAAGACCCCCACCTCCCTGGTAGGGATGTTGAAGGTTTAGGATTAGTTAATTAATTAATTTATTTTTAAAGATTTTATTGATTCATTCGAGACAGAGAGAGAGAGAGAGCACAAGCAGGGGGAGAGGCAGAGGGAGAAGCAGGCTCCCTGCTGAGCCAGGAGCTGAACATGGGGCTCGATCCCAGGACCCTGGGATCATGACCCGAGCTGAAGGCAGATGCTTAACCATCTGAGCCACCCAGGCGCCCCATTTAGGATTAATTTAAAGGAAGTGCCTGGCAAGAACCTGGCCAACATGGTGGTCAATAATGGTGTTTGGTTTTATTTTTTTTTCCCCATAGGGGATTTAATATTGAGAACAGGAAAAAATCACTTAAAGCCATTTCTCAACAAGGTAGGAGATTCAAGCTGGAGTACAACATTTGTGGCATAAAACCAAGTGTGGGTATACTGGAGTGGGACTGGATTTCTTGTGAGGCTTACACACCGTTCTAGAGGTAATTCTAAGAGAGGGATTGTATGTTCAAGCTTCTCCTGGGGTCTACTCTGAAGGGGGCAGCACTTAATCTGAAAGAAAAGGTTTTCTTTGTTAAATGTTGTTTTATTTACAAAACAAACCAATCCCCCCCCTACTTCCGGGTTTCGGGTCAGTGTGTCAGTCTTAGGTCGTCTGGTCTAGGCCAGTGGTTCTCAGCTGTGGAGCTCAGCAGTGCACTCTGTGGGACCTGCGGTTTCCAGCACATGGACTACGGCAATCAGAGAATGCTTGCAATACATAAAGGGTGGCCTTAAAAAGAGCAGGCCTTTTCTTCTCCCAGTGGCAGGGACTCAAGGCAGGAAGGACGGAGAACCACTGCTCTAGGCGGCAGGGGTCGTCCGGCGGGATCGCTCTCAGGCACCCCACAGAGCACCACATGCAGCCCTGTACCTGCGTGTATGGAGGGGGCCACATGCTCAGGAGACAGTGTCTAACCTGCTGTGGCTCTTAAGGTACCGAGAGCAGTTTCATCACCTAGGTCTAGGGCAGCAGAGGGCAGCAGAGGGATCCAACTCCTCCATCTTGAAGTAATACCAGTGGAGAGGGTCAATCTGAATTGTTCCTATACATTGACCCCCAAACTCTCTCCTCTGAAAAAGCAACTCTCAGTCACACGAAAACAGAGCCTCCTTGTTACCTTCACAGGCTGATCCTGGGCTGAATCTGTCTCACTGCCTTTCTCTTTCTTCTTTTTTTGTTTCTTTTTCTTCTTTTTGGCTCCAGTGTCATTGGCTGGACTCAAACCACTGTAAGACAAAGTAAATACTGATGCAGGGTTTTTAAAAAATCATCCGTTTTGAGCTACACTGACAAAGAGCTTTCTGTGGAGCCAGATCTTCCTTAATCAGGCCTGTTGGCTTCAGAAGACGACTAGAGAATCCAGGTCCCAGCAAATGCAGCTCTCCTCACTCCCACCAGCTCTGGGGGGTGAGAGTTGGGTGGGAGGGGGGGCCTGTGCCAGAAATGTCCTATTTGTTTGGAAGGACCTTTTCAATTCTTGCTTTTATTTGATGTTTATTTTCTTCAGATTGCTAGAGTGCTGTAACCAAAGGCAAATGATAATTGTTAACAGGGCATTCGTACCACCAACACTTCCTTAGAGCCCTGAATTTAAAATGATGACAGCCCAAAGCAGTCTTTTTGGACACCCTTCCTCATCCCCACTCTCACTCTCCCAGTGCATCACGTTTAGTGAAATTCCCCAGCTGGATCTAAAGCTCAAGGCAGTACTGCAAAGGGAGGAAGGAAGGAGGAAAAAGGCAGTTTCACATTGCTGCGATCTGTGTCCAAGCTAGTGAAACAGTCGTGAGCACTGCCGAAATCAAGCCTGCAGGACCTAGGGCGACTGTCAGCTGGCTCAGACTGGGTGATCACCACGGGCAAAACCCAGTACCTGGGGTCTGGGGAAAAGAACAGTGAAGCACCCACCCACTCCTGCCACAAAGCAACTCCATGAAACATGCCTGTGAGCCCAGTAAAGGGGAGAGGCCCTCTGCATGACACACCCCACGAATGCAGCAAAAAACAGTCTCGTAGCCACATCTGAACGTCTCCTACAGCCTTTTATTATTGTTTTCTGAGGTCTCTCAACATCTTTACTGAGACACAAATCATGTATTTTTTAATTAATTAATTTTTTTTTAGATTTTATTTATTTATTTGACAGAGAGAGAGACAGCAAGAGCAGGAACACAAGCAGGGGGAGTGGGAGAGCGAGAAGCAGGCTTCCTGCCGAGCAGGGAGCCCGATGTGGGACTCGATCCCAGGACCCTGGGATCATGACCTGAGCCGAAGGCAGACGCTTAACGACTGAGCCACCCAGGCGCCCCACAAATCATATTATACTGTGTTTCTTTCACATTTTCCATTCATTTGCTCCCTAATGTCTTCTCCCAATTCTTGTTGATTTCTGGGTTTCCTTTATTTTATTGATGAATTTTAAGGTTCACCTTGCAGCTTAGCTTTCCTAATTATGGTTGGGCACTTGACCCTTGAACAACACAGGGGCTGGGGTCCCTGACCCCCCCCCAACAGTTGAAAATCTGCATACAACTTTTGACTCTCCCAAAATTAGCTATTAATAGCCTACTGTTGATGAGGCCTTACCTATAACATGCCGATTAACACAGATTTTCTAGTTGTATTATATACTATATTCTTCAAGTAAAGTAAGCTAGAAACAATATTATCAAGGAAAACCTAAGGAAAATAACATTTATAGTGCTGTGTTGTTAAAAGTTCACATATAAGTAGACCTGTGCAGCTCAAACCCATGCTGTTCAAGGGTCAACTACAGTCAGTTTCTGTCATGTCTAAACTGATTTTGGAATTGTTAGCCTGAAAGTAATGCCTAAAGTTACTCTGCCATCTTCCCTGGAAATCTTCCATTAAAAAGTCAAAATTAGTAGTCCCACCTGAGAATACAGTGAACCCTAATCTGCAGGATCCGCTAAAAGTGCAGGGTTTTAGCTGTATATTCTAGATAACCAATTTTCAAAGAATTAAAATAGTATAAATAATGCATTTTCCATACCATATGATACATTCCGTTTAAGCTTTATTTTACAATTCACAAAGCATACCTGGCCTTAAAATGTCTTGGGGTGATTATGAATATTAATTATTCTCTCATAGCAAGTGGTACTGTGTAGGGAGAAGGAATCTACAGCCATGAGCTGCCATTTCCTATGGGAGAGGTACCTATTCCTAGGCCTGGGAGGAGCGCTGGCGTCCAGACTTCATGACCTTACACTTGGACTAAAGTTACCTCCACCCTGTGCTGGATCTGCCTGACTTTGCCATCTTTCTGCATCATCCTAAGCTCCTGTCAGCTGTGGGACTCAGCTCTGTGAAAAGGCTTTCCGTACTAGAAAGTGTGTCCCTCCCATGCTAGAAAGCCTACAGTGATAGCAGCCTCTTACCCGGGAAGGTATCATCAAGCCCAACTTTTCCGTAGGCCCATAACCCTCAGTTCCTGGCTAGCTCATTCACTCTTCCTTCGCCCCGCCCTGGAATAACTGCCTGTACCCAACGCAGGGAGACAGACTATGAAGTCAGGGAGATCCAGTAAAGGCTGGAGGTTACTTTAGTCCAAGTGCACCTCCTAGATATTATCTTAATGGGACACAGAAGGCATACCATGAAAGGAAGACCAATAACATTCTTAGAGGGGGAATAAGGTAAACTCTTTAAAACCAGATGCTCTGCAAAACCCCCAAGGCCATGGCAAAGTACAGGAACCAGGAAGTCATTTATGGCCTAAAGAAAATTTTTTCCACTTAGTAATTCAATGTTATCATCTACAGGCCTATTTGTAGCCTATAACAACTCTATGTGGTTTTTAAATTCCAGACATAGTCTCACTTCAGTCTCAAGATTATACGGAGCATTATAAAATTTAAAAACTGGTTGATGTTAGGAAACAAAGCAGTGCCCCACCATTGATACAATGTACAAGTCCTTCACCTCAGCTTATGGAATGAGTTACGTGGTTCCTATGTATGAATTACCATAAAAAAATACTTAAAAAAATTCTGTGGATAAAAAAAGGTCAAGGCAAAGAACTGTTGTGTATCAACCTTTTGGATACTTACTAAACACATTTTCACATAAGGAAAATAGAAGAAATTACTTTCTCCAACTTCAGAAATCTTCACAAGGAAATCACTAAGAAACTACCTTCCTGCCTTTCTCTCTCTTCAGTGGAGCCACTTCTGACCAGCCATCGGGGACCCCACTTTTGTGGAAGGATCTTAGACTGAACTCTTGTTCTCATCAACATATGTGCCTGACAAACTCCAAGACCCACACTAAACCCAGAGAGCGAATTTCATGATCCTTGTACTGCCTTGAATTTGCACACGCAGCTATTGAGCAACAATCCTGTTTCAACTTGTACAGCAAGCATAGAGATAGATGAATAACAAAGGGAAGTTAAAAGAAAGAAGAATCATTTTCAGGGAGCTGCCAGGGACTGAACTACATCCACGAGAACACATTATGAGCTCACCATGGTCTTACAGTCAGCAACCCAGATAGGAGGACGACTGACACAGAGAAGAGATTTTTTTTTTCCCCCGAAGATTTTATTTATTTGAGAGAGAGAGAGCGCGAGCACAAGCGGGGTGAGGAGAGGAGGGAGAAGCAGACTGGGTTCAGTCCTGGGTGTCCTGGGTGTCTCTGGGATCATGACCTAAGCCGAAGGCAGATGCATAACCAACGGAGCCATCCAGGCGCCCCGAGAAGAGATTTCCAAAGAGCTCACTATGGTTTAGTTTTCAAGGTGATTATAGTAATTTTAACTATCAAAAGAAACCAAGCTCAGAAGCTTTGAGAGTAAGTCTTCAAGAAGCCTCCCAGGAAGCCGCCAACACCATTTCAAAGAAGAGCTTCAGTTTGGATTTGGGGAGAACCACACCAGAGGACCCCACTGAAGCAGGCTAGTCCTTCTCTAAGAATTCGAATCATTTTTAAACGGACCTGAAGTCCACACCCAGCGGGTGGACATCCCAGGGTGTGTAGGGATTCTGCAAATTGAAATAGCAATCTCTTAGAGAGCACTCTAAGCCTGCCAGGCACCTTTACACACTCCAAAGAGATGGGCCAGAACCATGGAATATAGAAAATCAAAGTCTGCCTTTGGTTCATTTGGTTCTAAAATAATGAGCAAAGAATTAGTGAAACTTGCCTTCCTGGGGAAAAGGGAGCTCCCTACAATGGAAATGGACATAGGAGTTCACATAAAAATTTTGAAGTTAACACTCTAAAGCTGATAAACTCAAGTCATTAATGACCAACCTAGAGAATATGGGACAAATTAGCAGAATGACAGAGCCAGGAACAGGGAAGACAAGCAATTAAAAAAATGTCATTAAGGGGCGCCCGGGTGGCTCAGTCGTTAAGCGTCTGCCTTCGGCTCAGGTCATGATCCCAGGGTCCTGGGATCGAGCCCCGAATCGGGCTCCCTGCTCAGTGGGGAGCCTGCTTCTCCCTCTTCCACTCCCCCTGCTTGTGTTCCCTCTCTCGCTGTGGCTCTCTCTGTCAAATATAGAAATAAAATCTTTTAAAAAAAAATTACTTATAAAAATGTCATTAAAAAAATTTTTTTTTTTTATTTAAGTAGGCTCTATGCCCAACTTGGGGCTGGAACTCACGACTCCAAGATCAAGTGTCATGCTCTACTGACTGAACCAGCCAGGAGCCCCAAGAAATGTCCTTTTTTAAATGAAGGCCAAGATATTCTAAGCTCAAACACAGAAATCTAACGGATGCTCTGGTATAAAGTCAGGGCTCGGGGGAGGAGATAGAAAATGAGCCTCAGTGCTGATTTCTAGAAACAGAATGCAGTGCCAGAATGTGTGAGTGGGCGGGAGGGAAGGGCATGTTGACAGATGAGCAGCTCAAGCACAGAACTTCCAGATAACACGACAAGCAGGAAGGGTCCATAACAGAGGCCTCCTCTCCATCCTACTGGGTAACAAAATCCACTCAAAAGGTGCAGGATTGGGGAACAGAATGCTGTTACTGTGGGGGAGTGCAAGCTCAGCCACCAGGGCCGGAAAAATCTCAGGGCCACCCAGCTTAACTTGCTGTTCACAGAAGAGGAAACCAAGGCCCAGACACGTGAGGCAAACTGGTCACCAACTAACCAACTGGTACCCATGGACAAGCCTCCAATCTCTAAAGACATGGACCATTCCTTCCCAAACACCTTGGTCTTGTTTCTGTGGGAATTTATCTGAGACTC